GTAGGGATGTTGCTGTGACACTGAAGTCACTCATTTCAGGCATTTGCACACCAGCCCACAGCTTATTGGATCTGATTTCCTAAAACCTGGCTGAGGTTTCTCTCCAGGGACCTTAATGATCTTGTCACCTCCAATAAGCATTTATAGACGCTCCTGCCAGCCCGTGGATAAGACGACCTCCTGTGAGAGACCTGATCTTCCAAAAATACCTAAAGGCACCCCGAAATAAAAGCACCTTAACCCACGAGAAGATCAATAGAACATGTCCAAATGTAGCTGGAGCTGGATTGCAGTACCAGGCATTGGCATGGTAGGCATGTGCTGGGTTGGTTGGCTTTGCTCTCTCAGCAACCCGCGCGCCGTCGGGAGCGCTGCTCAAACTGGAACTGGCCCAACCATGGGTGTGAACAAAAGCCAAGGGTGAGAGATAAGATGGAAAGGAAGCAGGTAAAGGCTGCCCCAGGCTCGTGCCACTCGGGTGGGGTTTTACGCACTGCCCATGTTTGCACCTCTAAGAGATTTCCGTTTTTTCGCATCAAAACCTCCAGATACGAAGCCGAAGCCGCTTTCTTCGCCAACCTGAAACTGTCGGATTTCAACATCATCGACACCCTGGGAGTCGGGGGCTTTGGACGAGTTGAGCTGGTAGGTGACCTTTGCTTCTGCTTTCAAGCTTGCATGGTACCCTGCTCCATAAGACTGTGCTCCGAGTCTTCATTTCTGATTGTTGTTACACCCAAATAACCAGAAGGAAATGATGTGATGAGATTCTAGGTTTTCCACTGGTTGAAAAAAACCCCTACATTATGTTTCTGTTAAGTAAAAATGTACAGATAAATTGTTTAAAATCATACAGGTTGGAAAAGACCTTTAAGATTGTTGAGCCCTTTGCTCAAAGAATGTATGTACTGGGTTGAGTGAGGAGCACGCATCATCCTGTGTTGATGGCAGTGGTTGCCTTTTGGAAAACAACCTGAAGAGTTGTGTGGCCATTGAGTGCTCAGATTGAAAGAGCAACTTAAAATCTTAGGTGGCCAAAGCTGGAGTGACAGTTCTCTAAGCATTGTCTTAATGTAGGTCTGGACGTAGATCTGCTTGGTCAGCACAAAAGCTGTTTATTCCATGTCTGAACTGTGACAAGACTCCACAGAAAACTACTGAATTTTTGCAGGCTTTTAGAGAAAGGACAAAATCTGAGCCTGCTTTTCCCTCTGGTTGGGTTTAGAGCCCTGCAGTCTTTATTAAAGCAAAACCTGAGGGGGAGATGGTGGAAGCAGCAGCCGTTTCATGACTCGTTCACCATTTCATGTAAATACAAGAACTTGTAATAAAGGGAGCTCCGTTTAAATCGTGGTGCTGGCCATGGAGGAGCTTCTGATACTAGACACCAAGAGAGTATGCTAGGAATTCCTGTAAGCTAAGGGCAGAAAAGTGAGCAGAGTCACTGCTGCCATCACAAAACATTGGGGCAAGCACTGCTTTGTAACCCTGCAGGAGCCAAATGCACCTGTAGTGCTGGGACCTGGAAAAGGAGCAAAATAAAGTGTTATTGGTGTCATCAACTGTTGTTTTGGAAGAGAATCACAAGAGCTCAGTCGTAGCCATCCTTGCCCTGCTCCTTCTGTAGGGATCTGCTGCTGAGGTTGCTTTAGAGCAGGAGTTCAATTCAGGTTGTGCTCAACCTCCCTTTTGGAGGCCCTTCCCCCTTTGTTGACAATAGCATGAAGCTCAGGAGATTTGTTTCCTAAATGAACATCAGCACTGGCTTCCCCACCAGGGGTGACCTGTAGTGAGGGACCCACCAGTTTGGGGCTTCTTTTGAAACTTGTGAAGGAGCTTTTGAGGTGGTTTTTTTTTCATTCTTCAGGCTGTTATGATGCATGCTGCCAAGCTTTGAAAACCTCCAGATGTTCCTGGGAAGATACATGAGTTTGTCTTCATGGGGAGTTGCTTGTGGGACTCTCAAAGATAAAGAGTTGAGTTTGGGCTGTTACTGATGTCTGTGGGCCACCTACCTCTGGCTACTCACGGAGTTCCTTTGGGAGCTTTACTATGTGGAACATCTTGAACTCTTGAAATCTTAGCAATGTGGCACACTTGGCCAGGTGTGAGGAAGAGCAAGGATGGACATGGCCTGTCACTTCAAGGTATCAGATCACAGTCAGGTAGAGGAATTTCATTCTTAGGAGATGGCCAAAGCCTCCAAGAAGCCTTGGGGGCAGCTGCACAGCCACAGAGCACAGAAACATTTTCATCACTTCATGGAGTCTTCTTCAGGGTTGGATTTAACACACTTCCCTATTCTCCTAAGCAGGGAAAAGCTGGTTAAGGTCCTTTCCTCTAGTTCTTAATTTAAACTGAATTGCACATAAAATGATAGAATATATTTTAAAGTTTAGCTTAACAATCCAGACCAAGTTTGTTACTTTTCTTTGCCACCAAGGGAAATTTGGTTATTAAACCAAGAAAATACTCTTTTTGTTAGAGCTGAGCCTAGAATTGCTGCCTCTTGCTTCTATCTTCTCCATGAAAAAATTGTTTTATCATTTAAGGTTAAAAAATGAAGGGATGCAAAATGTTTGGGAGGAATTGACTCTTTGCTGGCCTGTGCCACTGTACCCTGCTGGTGCACAGCAATGGTGGAATTTCTTCCTGGGAAACATTCACATTTTTTGTGTTTTTCAAGAGTAAAACTGGTCAGATAAATCAAGTTCATCACAAGGAGGAGGATTTTTATGGCTTGACCTCAGGTGCTGTGGGCGAGTCCCCCAGTGCATCTCCTTACCTTCCAGGAGGGCAGTGGGTGATGTCTGGTTGCAAACTGGAGTGTCTCAGGCTTCGTTGGGGTCTTGCTGGCCCGGAAGGAACAACTCTTCCTTTGGCCTGTGTTTGGCTTTTGGGTGAGACAGCCTGGAATGTGAAGAGTTTTCAGTCCTGTGAAGGTTGCACGTGGGAATATCTTGTTGGCCTGGTTTTCTGGGTAGTTTTATTTGTTGTACACCAGGAGATGTTCCCAGCAGGTTTGCATTGTTGTTGTACAAAGTTTAGTCTTTTTGATGGCCACCTGATGCCTCTTGCAACGTGGCTTGTCCTGGTGAATGCTGTTCTCCTCCTTCACCCCACCAACTTTTAGCCAGGCTTCTCTCAAGGAGAGAAACCAGCTGAGTAGTGGCTGTTTTAGACAGGGACCAGCTCTGCTGCTGGAGCAAGAACAAATCAAGGCTTTTGTTCACTTACAGCAGGACCTGTGTAATCCTCAGTATTTGAAAAGCAAACAGATGGGTTGGAGAGACCACAGTCTGGCCAGGGCTGGTGGTGCCACATTCCTAGGACAACCCTCCTGCATTTCAGAGGGGTGCCAAGTAGGGCCAAGCTTCTCCAGGACATGTCCTGCCCAGCTGGTTGAGGCCTCCCTTAGCAGGGAAGAAAGAAAACCCTAGGAATGACTTCTTGGTTTTTAATAGCACAGATTAACAGACACAGCCACTGCTTCTTGCAACTCAGCTTCTCAGCATGGTGTCACTTGAGCATCTTGGGTGTTGGGATCCAGGTGCTTCCATCCTACACTGGAACAGGGAGTGGCTGTGTCATCTCAGGTTCATTCCCACCCAGCACTGCTTTGCAGAGGACACTGATGTAGGTCAGGTGTCCTCAGGCCTCATAAATCATTTCTCTGAACTGTATTGCTCTTCTCCTTGTTATTTAATTTCCTTTGAATGGAAGTCCTGTGTTTCTAAGTCCTCTGCCTCAGGTCAGTTATTTTTGGATTTAGGTCAAGATTATTTTAGACAGCTCTGAAACAAATTTATTGGAGGATCTTGAACATACAGGGTTAGAACCATTATTGCTGGGAAGTCAGTTCAGGTGGGTGGTGGCTGAGCACAGGTAGGCTGGAAAAAAGGTCCATGCCTCAACACACACCTTCTTGTCATATTGATTTACATTACACAGTGCAAACAATCACCCAGAGATGGAAGAAGGAGAAGATTTTCTGTCACTCCTATGGCTACAAAATTACAAAAATAGCATCTTTTCTCAGCTTTCAGCCCTGACTTGGCAAAACATTCAATCATTTGTTTTAATGTTTAGCAGTTTTGTGGGTTTCTGTGACACTAAGAGCACATATTTCAACTTTGTGGTCATTAAGCCTCAGGCTGGAAGGGACTAAAGACATGGTCATTAGGCAGAGTCAGGTACACACAGCAACTTCTGACCACTTCTCTCTCATTTGTCTTTACAGAAGGTGATTCTTGGAAATTATTTTCCTAATATTTAGAATAATCAAATTGTTCTGGTTAGTAAAGACTTGAAGATTGTCAAGCCCAAGTATTAACCCAGCCCTGCCAAGGCCACCACTAACCCATGTCCCTCAGCACCACATCTACACAGCTTTGAAACCCCTCCAAGGATGAGGACTCCACCACTACCCTGGGCAGCCTGGGCCAGGGCCTGACAACCCTTTCCAGGAAGAAATTGTTCCCCAGTCTAAGCCACCTCTGATGGTTGTTGAGAGGCTTGAGGCTGTTTCCTCCTGTCCTATCATGTGTTAAAATCTTCCTCCTGTAGTTTGTAATAGGCTTGAGGTACCTGAAGACCTCTTCTCTTGATAAGAATTAATGTGCTGCTTTTGAGCTTTCCATCTAATTCCTGCTTTCTACACCTGTGATTGTTCTTGTTCCTCAGTCTCACCTCTTTGGAGCAATGCCCAAACCAGACACATTAGTCAAGCTGGACCTTCCTCTGCTCAGGTGGAGCCAGACAATGACAATCAGCCCTTTGCCACTACTGAACAGTGCCCCTTCTCTTTCAAGTCAATGCTTCAATTTGTAAAAATCAGTTTGGATTCCCTTGATCTTCTCAAAAACTTTCCCAGCCCCCTCTGGTTTGATGTTCATAGCTTCAAAGATAATGACATTCTTCTTATTTCATAATCCATTAATAAAAGTGGTTTATGGTGCCACATACTAACCAGACCCCCCTGAAGTCCTTTTGGCTTGATGGTGGTGACTAAAAGCTAAATTCCTTTACAATTAATAAAGACCTGGGCATAAAAACTAAGCCTTGGTTTCAGCCCCATTTTACTGGGCCCAGACAAGGTATTTTTACAATGGGCAGTATGGCATGCTCCTTTTTATTCATTTTTTAAAGAGAAATCTGGCCACAGATTATGAAGTGCAATCAAATTTGTTGTACCCTCCAGCCTGTTTTGTAAACAAAACCATTAGGGAAACAATTAGGTGGTGAGGGGAAAAAACTGCCATAATTGTCTTCCAATCAACTTGACAGATGCACAATCCAGATATTTATTAGTGGAAATTTTCTAATTGCAGAGTGGTACTTTTCTTCCAGCTCTTACAAAGCTTTTTATTAGAAAGAATTTCTGAAATACCATTTTATTGTCAATTATCAGGAATCTTTTTGGCCTGTTGGAAAGTTGGGCATTTTGGCCATCGGGGTGAGGGTGCTGAGATGGAAATGAGGGGTTTGAAGATCAGGTAGCCAATCCCACCTTAATCTGACAACAAAACTGTCTCTACAGACCTGACCAAAATGCTGGTTATAAACATTTGGCCCTTTTTTTCCTTCACTAGATGCAGGATGATATTTCAGTGATAACATTCGATGGGGCTGCACCACTGCAGAGC